TTTTTTTTTTTTCAGCACTTTATTCACCATAAATATTCCAGTGGATGTAACTGGAGGTCATTATCTTAAGTGAAACAAGCCAGGCACAGAAAGTCAAATATTGCATGTTCTCACTTATAAGTGGGTGTTAAAAACTGTGTAGACATGTAAACAGAGTGGAGTGATAGGCAATGGAAACTCAGTGGGGCGATGGGGTGGGACAGAGTAGACAAGACCAGCCTGGCCAATGTGGTAAATTAATGGGTACAATGTATATACACTGTTGGCTGGGCATGGCGGCTCACACCTGTAATCCCAGCGCCTTGAGAGACCAAGGTGGATCACTTGAAGTCAAGAGTTTGAGACTAGCCTGGTCAAATTGGTGAAACCCTGTCTCTACTAAAAATACAAAAATTAACCAGGCATGATGGTGCCTGCCTGTGATCGCAGCTACTCAGGAGGCTGAGGCAGGAGAATCACTTGAACCTGGGAGGTGGAGGTTGCAGTGAGCCAAGATCACACCACTGCACTCCAGCCTGGGTGACAGGGCAAGACTCCGTGTCAAAGAGAAAAAAAAAAAATAAAAGTGCAATGTGAAGCAGTAGGTGCTAATGTAGAAGCTGCAGCAAGTTATCCAGAAGATCTAGGTAAGGTAATAGATACAAGTAGCTACACAAAACAACAGATATTCAATGTAAATGAAACAGCCTCCTATTAGAAGATGCCATCTAGGACTTTCAAAATCAGTATGATTCTTAGGTGCTAAATTTTCAGAATTGAAGTTACGTTAGCATGCATGAAAGCAACATTAATATCCTTGTACATCTCCATCAGAGCTCATGAGTGACCAAGTACATTGTCAACGAGCAGTAATATTTGCTGTGATTGCTAAAATTACCACAGCCAGCCACTACCACCCTGATCAGTCAGCAGCCATCAACATCAAGGTAAGATCCTCCACTAGCAAAAAGATTACAACTCACTTAGGGTTCAGGTGATCAGTAGTAGCAATTAAGTATTTTTTAATTAAGGCATTTTTTTTTAGGCATAATACTTATTAGACTACATTATAGTGTAAACATAACATATCTTTTAGATTTAAAAGATTATAATTACATTAACTTATACAATCTATAACTGTGTACCTTATATAATAATATAGATGTAATTGTAGATTTGTGTATTTCTCCTTAAATTTCTATTAGTTTTTTCCTTCATGTATTCTGAAGCATTCATATGTTGCGCTCTCTCTCTCTCTCTATATATATGTATGTGTGTATGTGTATGTGTGTGTGTTAGGACTGATACATCTTCTTGATGAACAGACCCTTTTATGATTTAACAATAGGCCTGCTTAGCTGGTCCTTCATTATCTGTCCCTTGGTAATAAAGAGTTACAATATTTGGTAAGGATTTAAATTTTTTTCCCTAGTGTTCTAGAGAGCTACCAAACTGCTTTCTGTGAGGAAGTCCCATGGTCTGGTTTATATCTTAACAGTATCAACAGCTATTATATGAGATGGAGTAATAATACAAGCATGGAAGCCAGTGATGAAACTACGATAGCCACGTGGGAGACAACTACGGCATGAACTAGAGGGATGGCAGCAGAGATTGAAGTAGGTAATTGGTTTCAGGATATGTTCTGAAAATATAAGAATTGATGGAATGTAAATAAATGAGAGGCCAGGTGCAGTGGCTCACGCCTATAATCCTAACACTTTGGGAGGCTGAGGCGGGCAGATTGCGTGAGCCCAGTATTTCGAGACCAGCTTGGGTGAAACTCTGTCTCTACAAACAATACAAAAATTAGCCAGGCATGATGGTGTGCACCTTTAGTCTCAGCTACTTGCGTGGCTGATGTGGGAGGATCACCTGAGCCCACAGAGGTCAATGTTGCAGTAAGCTGTGATCATGCCACCGCACTTCAGCCTGGGTGACACAGTGAGACTCTGTCTCAAACAAACAAACAAAGACAAAAAAAGAAGTCAATCCTGACTTGGAATGAACAACCAAACGTGTATGGCAGGGCTGTTAACTAAGACAGTGAACACTGAGGGAGAAGTATATTTCAGATTAAGAAGAGGGGAAATAAGTTCTGTGTTAAGAATTTTATCTCTATGTTCTTATGCTATATTAGGAATCAGTCTGTAGTTTTCCTATCTTTGTATGGTTTTGGTATCAGAGTAATGGTGGCCTCAATCAATGAGATGAGAACTTCATCTTATTCAATGTTCTAGAAGTATATGTAGAAATAGTATCTTCGTAAAAAGTTTGGGAAAAACTATCAGAAACTGAAGGTTTCTTTGTGGAAACTTTTTTTTTTTTTTTGAGACGGAGTCTCGCGCTGTCGCCCAGGCTGGAGTGCAGTGGCCAGATCTCAGCTCACTGCAAGCTCCGCCTCCCGGGTTCACGCCATTCTCCTGCCTCAGCCTCCTGAGTAGCTGGGACTACAGGCGCTGCCACCTCGCCCGGCTATTTTTTGTATTTCTTAGTAGAGATGGTGTTTCACCGTGTTAGCCAGGATGGTCTCGATCTCCTGACCTCGTGATCCACCCATCTCGGCCTCCCAAAGTGCTGGGATTACAGGCTTGAGCCACCGCGCCCGGCCGGAAACTTTTTTTTTTTTCAGAGGGAGTCTTGCTATGTCACCCAGGCTGGAGTGCAGTGGCGCAATCTTGGCTCACTGCAACCACCGCCTCCTGGGTTCAAGCGATTCTCCTGCCTCAGCCTCCAGAATACCTGGGATTACAGGTGTGCACCACCATGGCTGGCTAATTTTTGTATTTTTAGTAGAGACTAGGTTTCACATGTTGGCCAGGTGGTCTCGAACTCCTGACCTCAAGTGATCTGCCCGCCTCAGCCTCCCAAAGTGCTAGGATTACAGGCATGAGCCACCACTCCTGGCTTCTTTGCAGGAAAATTTAAACAAAAATTCAATTTCATTAATAGATACTGGGTTATACAAGTTATTATTCTATTTTTTTTGAGACAGAGTCTTGCTCTGTTGCCCAGGCTGGAGTGCAGTGGTGCAATCTCAGCTCACTGCAACCTTCTCCTCCTAGGTCCAAGCGATTCTTGTGCCTCAGCCTCCTGAATAGCTGGGATTACAGGCATGCACCGCCACATGTGGCTAATTTTTGTATTTTTAGTAGAGATGGGGTTTCACCATGTTAGCCGGGCTGGTCTTGAACTCCTGGCCTCAAGTGATCCGCCTGCCTTGGCCTCCAAAAGTGCTGGAATTACAGGCGTGAGCCACCGTGCCCGGTCACAAGTTATCTAATTCTTTATGAATGAGTTTTGGTAATTTGTGTCTTTCAGTCCATTTCACCTAAGTTGTTGAATTTTGGGGCATCATGCTGTTTATCATATTTCTATATTATCTGTTTAACAGCTGTATGATCAGTAGTGATGTTTCTTCTTTCATTCTTGATGTTAGCAATTTTTCTCTTCTTTTTCTTGGTCAATCTGACAAGAGGCTTATCCATTTTATTGATCTTCTCCAAGAACCTGCTTTTGCTTTCACTGATTTTCTCTATTGTTTTCCATTGCAATGATTTCCACACAGATCTTTATTATTTCCTTTCTTTGCTTACTTTGGGCTTCATGTGCTCTTCTGTTTCTAGTTTCTTAAGGTGAAAGCTGATTTCCTTTATATATAACTTTTCTTCTTTTCTAATATAGGTGTTATAGTGTGACATATTCCTCTTTAATTTGGCTACATCCCACAAATTTTGATGTTTCATTCTTTATTTCATCAAATTCAAAATAATTTGTAATTTTCCTTTTGATTTCTTCTTAGATCCATAGGTTACACATGTAAGTGTGTTACTTAGTTTCTAAATATTTGAGCACTTTCCAAACACCTGTCATTAATTTCCAATTTAATTCCAGAGAACAAAATTTGTAAAATCCGATTCCTTTAAAATTACTTGTTTTATAGCCTAGAATAAGGTCTTTCTTGGTAAATATGTCTTGTGGACTTGAATAGAATGTGAATTCTGTTGCTGTAGGTGGAATGTGTTATAAATGTTAATTAGGTCACACGGATGGCAGTGGCGGCCCCTCTGGAGTGGCCACTGTGAAGACACCAGCTGTGGCAGGGAAGGTACAGCAGGGACTGTGTGCTCCATGGAGCCAGTGGGTGCCAGGAACAGGTGGGAGCCATGCCCCCTTCTGAGTAGAAGGGAAAGGAGCCCCGACTTCCTGGGCACAGCTGTAGCCATTCAGCCACAGCTGCAGACCTGGGCATCCCTGTGCTCTCAGGGGCCCTGGAAATCCCCCTTCCCGACAGGCTCAAAAGTGCCTTCTCCCACTGCCTGG